AGCTGTTCCTTTTTAATACGATGTTAGGATGACACCTTTAGAGACTTGAAATGACCATTGAAGAAAAAAGATTATAAAGATATCACCATATCTTAAGTATACAAATGAAATAGGAGTTTTCTTAGCAAAGTCTTTTTTGATCGAGTCCCTGGGGAGTACAAAACACACGGGCAAACTCCTAATGTAATAGCAAAAGACGCAGTCACAGTAGACCGCCGATATGAGATTTTCTATTAGTTGAATGATTGTGGGAATATTGTCCGTAATTAACTTACTGATAAATCTTCAGAAGATCGCATGAGGGTGCCAACTGGTTCTTCGACTGTTTATGGAGACTAAAGAATGTGAATCAATGAAATTCCTAAATTTAAGTCGGACTCATCCAACTTCATTTTCAGCAAAGATAAAACGTGACGCTGTTTTAGACACTTTGACGTTATAATCCATGCGCCGTAAAGTGATACAATACATGGCATAAAATCACATAATTTGTTTATTTATGCATATATTTATCTGAAATTTGCTGTGTATATTACTAAAATATGTACTAAATAATAGTGAAAATTTCAGAAGGCAGTGATGTTTATTTTTTACACTAAACAACTTGTCCACGATTTTACGGGACAACCCTCGTATTTGAAAAATTCATGGCGTCATCGCTGGTATGAAATTCACTTTATCCATAAATTTGCATGAAATTTTCATGATATCCTACAAATAAGCCATAAAATTTTAATGTTATGCAATGAAAAGATGCAAAAGTTCAATAATTATTTACGGTGAATAGAAGTAAAAGAAATACATAGTCACAATTCATTTCAATAAAATCAGCCCCGTGGCACTCTACGCAACTGTGTGATCGGCCCAAAATCGGCCCTGTGGCACAGAAGTGGTGAGAATTATCAAAATAATCACCTTTAATATATATATATTTTTTTGCTTCTTGTTTTTCATTTTTACCCCCTCCCCCTACCTTTTCCCATTTAGGACCGTAGCATCGATTTTGAAAGTGGGGGGGGGGGGGCAGCCAGTGAATTTTTTTTTTACTTACCTGAAACAGTTGACAAGCAAAAAAAAATAAAAAAAATAAAAAAAAAGGAAAATTACCCAAAGTTGAAAATCCTATTTCGTGCGGGGGGGGGGGGGGGGGGGGGGGGAAGGGGGGGGGTAGAGGCAAACTTTTTCCACTACCAATTCCTTACGATATCCATTTTTAAAGCTTACAATACTATATTCCCTTCATATTACTTTACTTTAGTATAAAGTGGGGGGGGGGGGGCAACCAGCCTTTCAATGAACGTTTTCATTAGTAAAAGTATTCTTGGCAAAAAAAAGTGGGGGGCCAGACCCCCCCCCTCCCCGGTTGCTACGTCCCTGCCATTTTGCGCTTTAGGCCAGTTCAAATGCAGTTTTAAATAGATTTTCAATAATTGTTTTATATTTACCTAGTCCCCACTCCCCAATATATCATTTACCTGATGTATGATTATCATCAGAGGGAGGTGTAATTTTTACTTCCTTAGCAAAAATCTAAAAAAAAATTCTGTACTTTCGGTCAAATTGACACACTAGTGTAAGAAATATATTTAAGATAGATCTTACACGATGAAAATAGAAATATCAATAGCCTTATAAGAAAATAAAATTAAAAAAACAAAAATAAATGAACAATCTTTTTCGAAAATAGAATGACATACAAATAGTTGCATTCATTCGCCGTACATGTATATTTACTTATTAGAGATTTTAATAATTTGTGTCATTATTTTCCATTAAAATTCTGGAAGAAAAATGATCATATCAAACTGATCACCCCTTTCACTGTAATACATTGAATTCATGCGTGTTGTTAATAAAATCTATGAAATATTAAAAGTTATAGGTGATAAATAATGTCAATACGCAACAAATTAAAAAATAAATATTGATTAAAATTAAAATTTTGGAATACAATTAAAGCAAAATCAAACATTTGAACTTATTAGCTTTGGTTATCTTTTCATTCTGAGGAGCTTTTATTTGAGTTGCAGCATGTAATAGATAGTGTTCGATGGACCTAATTTTAGCAAAAGTTATCTCCCGTTGGTCGCCATATTGGAGGTCGACTCGGTGAGTTTTCCTCTTTGTCTTACCAAGTTTAAGAAAATATAGCAGAAATATTTGGTGGAAAATCTTTATTAAATATTTTTTTTAAATAAAGGAGGCTTCCAAAAACTTATATACTTCAGAAAAATAATGATTCCTAATTCAAAATCGCAAATATAAAAATTTAAAATCGGTTGAACAATGAAGCAATATGAGCATTTGGACCTCCAGTTTGGCTGCCAACGGGAGGTAACTTTTGCTAAATTTAAGTCAAGTGAAAACTATCTACATGCATTTAGGAAACTTACGAACGAAAATACATCGAAGTCAGGAAACAAAACGAAACAGGAAATTAATTTTTATTTGTTCTTTAGAAAATATGACATGTGTAATGTCTTCATACGCAACAAAATAGTTTAATAAATAAACTTGACAATATTAAATCACAGAATTAAACAACCAGTCATTCATTCCACATGCCTGGAATTACTGGTAATCTATAAACTCGGAACGTTTCCTCAAGGTTTGGCTTACACATACTTGTTATTATGACGTCATTTACGTTAAATGACGTTGATTCTAACCGTTGCTGCTAAATGGACGCGAGTAGTTACTCAATATACTGAATTTAAAATAGTATGAAATATACTTTGAAATGTAATCATGTTCATTGAGCATATTCAATAAGTAATAATAGCGGTATTATAAGTAACAACTCATTTATTTGAAAAATTCATGGCGTCATCGCTGGTATGAAATTCACTTTGTTTATCCATATATTTGCATGAAATTTTCATGATATTCTACAAATAAGCCAAAAAAACTTTAATGTTACGCAATGAAAAGATGCAACAGTTCAATAATTATTTACGGTGAAAAGAAGTAAGAGAAATACATAGTCACAATTCATTTCAATAAAATCGGCCAAAAATCGGCCCCGTGGCACTCTACGCAACTGTGTGATCGGCCCAAAATCGGCCCTGTGGCACAGAAGTGGTTAAGAAAGATGTCCATGGTAATATAACAACCAAGCTCTATGATAAACGAGATGACTTTTTAATTTTACAATCGTCAACTTCGCTTACTTATGCAGCAATATACTTTCATCACCTGCATACGGAGTTGATTCTCTCAGTTGATTCAATAGGCAAGAGCAGTCAAATGCTGACTTTTTTAAATACTATACAACTATGGACTCTTTTGGTGTTGAATATGGTTTGTTATTCACCAGAAAAATATTCATATTGACCGAGGCGAAGCCGAGGTCAATATGCATATTTTCCTGGTGAATAACAAACCATATTCAACACCAAAAGAGTCCACAATTGTTTTATTATATAGTCGGGACTTGAATGAATAAGACATTGAATGCTGTATGACGGCACCCTTTTCATTTGCAATCTTCCATTGTTGAAAATTAAAAAAAATCTTAAATGTAGTGAAAAATTTTAATGCTCATTGAACTCCTTTACCTAGACTAAGTGCTACGTACATGTATGCACATATGTATAGATTTTTTTTATATAATTTTTATTAATATTTTGGTATAAATACTTTTAAAATTCCATTTTTTTTACTTAGAAAACATTGAATTGCCGTACAGGTAAATTCCGGAAATGAAAAAAAAATTATGTCGGAAATGAAAACAAAAAATGCCGGAAATGAAATAAAAAAAATGTCGGAAATGCTATGCATATTTCCGGAAAGGAAATGCAGCGCACGCCAAATGGTTCTTTTTTTTTTTTTTTACACGGGGGCATATTTTTGTAAACCGAAAACAAAAAATAGTTATTTTTTCGTCATTTTTATTAAGATAACATGTTTAAGAATAGTTTAACATAAAGAGAATCACTAAACCATGGGTATTTGAAATTAAGGTATGTAAAAAAAAAACCGCATTTAACCCTACGATATATTGCATTTTTGCATTGGCTGACAATGTCGTTGTATCGTATAGATCTTACAAAATTATGATCTCATCAACCTGGTTGATAGCAAAACATATTTTACGTGCCAGGAAAACAGGAATATTAAAATCGTGAAGAAGCCTGGAAAACATAAGATTTTCGGACTAATGTACAGCGTGCTCTTGTGTATCATAACGTTCCTGTTATCTCAGTATTACATAATCTCAAAAGATTTTTTTTCTGCAGATGTTTTGCTGCGAACATATAATAATTATGTATAAAGATGTGACCTGACACCTTTGAGATACATGGAACCGACTGCAACAACATAACATGTATTTAGGTGTATTTCAAAGAACTCAAATCGATTAAAGATGAAAAAGGTTTAAAAAGAATCACTGTCTAGTTATTATAGTATGCCAGGACATGAAAGATAGTGGGAAACATGGGATAATTTGCATAACGGGCGAAGCACTATTGTTGAAAAATAATAACAAACAAAACAACAAAGACAAAACCAAATATTTTATTATATTGTGTTACTATTGGCTTTCGTACTATTGCAATACTATTTTGTTTTAACACTTCATCCAGCTGTCAACTTATACACGTTCAGGATAAACTTTCACTAAAGGAACGATTCTTATACAGTCGTTCATTTGTTTCGGATATCATAATATTTAAATGACAACACAAAATACTTTTATATAGGATTTTTATATGAAATAGCAAATTTTATCTCAGTGAAATCAAATTCACATTAGACAGAAACAATTTCGTTTGGCTGGGCTAGTGGGGGTCATTTACTTAAATAATAATCATATCTTCATAATCGTATCTCGAATTAACTATGTAGATAAAGAATTATCAAGCTCACAAGTCTATTTAAACAATGTTTGCTCTTTGTAATCATTACTCGTACTTAGTCATCTGCCCCGTCAACTTTCGGTTTTGATTTCGGTTCAGAACTGTTCTGCGAAATAAGGCTTGTTTGAGTTACCTTTGACCACTCATACTACGTTGTTAAAAATACTTCCGGATTTGATCATTAGTTAACGGGATAACATGGATCGAAACGTCGCCTCATGCGACTCAAATGGGGACAATGAAGTGTTACAGAAAAGATTGATCAATGCAGTTAAAGATGGAAACATTGAAAAAGTTACAGAGATATGTAGATCTCTTCCAAGAAACTTTGATATGAACAGTGTTTTTGAAATACCATATTACGGAATCCGCAAAGGGACACCATTACTTCATCTTGCCTGCAGTGCTAGAAACTCGGGGGAAATTTTGATAATACTGGTTAAAAATGGCGGAAGTCTGTGGTCGAACAAACTAAATGGTTTAAATCTTTTTCATTATGCCTGCAAAAAGAGAAACCTGGAGGCTATTCAGTTTATTCTGGGCGAGTGCCAGGATGTGTTTTACCTTCATACTATATCAGAAGATGGTTATGATGCCCTCTTTTACGCAATAGAATCCTGGAAGAAGGATCCAGAAGAAGGAAAAAAAGTTATTGAACTCCTTCTTCTCCAAGGAAAGTTTAGTATCAATCGATTTCGGAAAGATGGGTCAACTGAAGTGTTGAAGGCTGTTGTGGAAGATAGATGCAAGTTAGTATCAATGCTCTGCAAGCTTGGGGCGGATGTGAATCTTGGACACCATTCGTCTAAAAAAGCAATTCACTGGGCAAGCGAACAAAGTGGTTATCACGATATGATACAAATACTTGTAGACCATGGTGCAAATAAAAACGAAGTATGGCGCCACTGTCAACGACCTATACATCTGGCTCTTAAACATGGTTTAACTAGAAATGCAGAAATTTTGCTCCGATCAGGAGTTGACATATCTGGTTCAATACGACTAAGTAACCCAAAGTACTTTTGGATTTCAACATTTTGTCTTGCTGCTAGGCGATGTCCTTCGTTAATTCCAGAGTTTCTAGCTCGCAGTGCTAACCCTAACGAAATCCACTACACGAGTGGATACTCAGTGCTTGGATTTGCCATAGAAAATGATGGCAAGAGAGAAGCGATAAAATCCCTTATACAAGCGGGCGCTGACATTGCAAAAGGATGTAATGGAAAATCTGCTCTCCAAAGTTGCAACAACTTAGGTATTTTTTTTTTCTTGTAATTCTTAGATTCAGAAATGAAGAAACAGTTCATAATTGAAATCAAAATCGAAATGTCACATGAAACATCATCCTGATATGGATCATATAGTAACACAAATATCATAAAAAAAATTATTGATGTTAAAGATATTTTACCATCTTAGCCCTAATATACTAATTTTTACATATACGTATATATAAACAATGTACATGTACATCACGAGAAGTGTTTTTTTTTAACCAAATTAAATTCTATTTTTTTTTACTTAGAATGGCAACATTAATTCATGGAAGTTTCTTTTATGAAGATTTCATTTAATTTTGTTAAAATGCTACTCCTCAGACAGTTTTGGTCCTTTACTATTTTTCCTTGCTTTCACAAAAGCGAAAGGACATTAAATGTCATTAGTATGTCTGTCCGCCAGTCTTTAAGTCTGTCAATCTGTCCGTCTATCACAGAAAAATTAACCTTATAACTCATGTGTATTATCCGTGACAAAACCTTTTTTTAATACACGAAGGTTTTTGACCCCGTGACTTTGAAGTTTGAACTTCTTTTCAAAACTTTATCTTTGGTCATAACTTTTTGTATGAGAAGAATTTTACATGTGCATTACCTTTGACAAAATATTTCTGAGTATGCTAAGATTTCTGAATCCTTGACACTTATCTTCATTTTTGACCTATTTTTCAGGAAAAATTAACTTTGGTGATAACTTTGAATAAGATAGAGCGTTCATATTTGACACAATATGCCATAAACAGTGACATCTTACCCACATAGATACCGAAAGTGGCGAACCACAATTCTTTGAATTTGCTTGTTAAGTCTTGGTTAAAGTAGACAATACTAAGAAACATAATTGTATTTATCGGTTTTTCGGTTTTTTGTTTGAAAGAAATCATCTTGTCATGGATACCAAAACAAATGGCAAAGAATGTGTTTTAAAACAGTACCAACGATGAAGAAACACCATTATACTAGTATAAGGGCTAAGATGACCCAAATTCTTTATTGATACATGTTTTATTCTATTTTTTTTATAATATGAGATTACCTACCATAATATTATAAATTGACCAAAATTTTGTGTATTGAAACGAAAAAAAAAATGTCTCACAATTAGGAATAACTTTTTCATGGAGGACATTCGTCTGCTTATTTAATTTATTGATTCAAAATAATTTATCAGTGGAGATAATTACATGTACATTGTATTATGTATTTCATAGTGATGTTTATAATTTTATAGTTAGCAAATTTATTTTGCATATGAAACCGAGATTGTAAAGTTAACAAAGAAAAAGGGAACAAGACCGAAAATACGAGTTGTATGTATAGAGAAATAAAAAAGAAACAAGATTGTTTATGAAATATTGATGCCCCCTATGACAGTTTATGGCGAGGATAAAATCTTCTGAAATGTAAGACAATCTCCAAAAGTCAAGATCAAAAGGTAAAAAAAAAGTTCGTATCCAAAGATCTTGTTACAAGGAATACACCTGTAAAGTATGAAAGTCCTAGTGATTACTGTTCAAAAGTAATGACCAAGGTTAAATGTTCAAAGTCGGTCAAACTCTAGGGTCAACATCATAGGGTCGAAATAGTTGGAATCCAAAATATGGTAAAGTTATCACAAGGAACACACCTGTAAAATATGATGGCCTAGATCTAACAGTTCAAAAATTATGGCCAAGGTCAAAGTTTTGTTTTGTTTGTTTGTTTGTTTGTTTGTTTTTTTTTTTGGGGGGGGGGGGGGGGGTAAAAGTCGGTCAAACTCCAAGGTCAAGGTTAGAGATCAAATTTGGTTGTACCCAAGGAAAGGTCTTGTAACAAGTAACACACCTTTGAAATATGAAAGCCAAAGATTCACACACCACAAACAGATACAGAGAACGTTATGTATTAAAATGGTCTTAATTGTTCATTGTCGAATTATGCATTATATTTAAATCTCTTTTTCAGATCAAATACTTGCATTTGTTGACTGTGCAATACCACTGAAGACTATTGAGAGTGAACTTGACACAAATCTCTTAAAAAGAGTTCTATTAAAAGACTATTCATCTGAGGAAACCGTGGTTGAAAATGCTAAATTTTTGTTATCCAAAGGTTCTTCCTTTGATGACCCACGAAATGGTACTATTGCATTTTTGATTCACCACTTAGAGAGAAGAAAGTACAAAGTTGCAGAATTTCTCGTCGAAAATGGCATAAACGTGAATCAAAAAAAGGAAGACGGAAACACAGCTTTACATATTATCTGCGAAATGGGTAAGTTTAATTAGAATGAAATGGGCATTCTTCTTTAGATATGTATGAAGCAATGACAAATGGAGAAGATAGCGAACAGTGATCAATTTCATTAAAACTTCAAATAATTCAAATCTGTGACTGAGGTTCAACACTTACCGAAGAAAATTTAAAAGTGTAGATTAGGTGTCTTAAGCATCCCCTTTCGACCAGCCACACCTGCCATGAGCCCGCTGCATTTCATTTCCGGAAATCTACATAGCATTTCCAACATTTTTTTAGAATTTCTTTTCCGATATTTTTAATTTCATTTCCGACATAATTTTTTTTTCATTTCTGGAATTTAACTGTGCGGCAATTTAATGTTTTCTAAGTAAGTAAAAATGGAATTTTTTAAGTATTTTTTACAAAATATTGATAAAAAATAATCCGTCTAGTATACATATAAATTATGTATACATGTAACACTAAGTCTTGGTAAAAGAGTTCAATGAGCATAGAGCTTTTACACCACATTATGTGGACTATAAATTTAAATGTCAGGGTATTGACAGTCACTTTATTGATAGATTTACAGAACTCAGAAATTGGATTTCAATGATTTATTTGTGATTTATTCCTTTAATTTTTTTTATAGTTGAAGTCTTCAAATCTGCTACTAAAGGTACTTTTTGAAAAATGTCGGAAATGAAAACAAAAGAATTTTGAGAACTGAAAACAAAAAAATATCGGAAATGAAAACAAAAAAAAAATGTCGGAAATGAAAAGTTATTAATTACGCCCACGAAAAATTCCAGAAATGAAATCCAGCCCATGAGCCATATTGATTAAGAGCACGATTGATCAAACAAGTCTTTAAATCATCAACAGCTGGGTGGTGTTTTTGATAAAGAATTTAATTGTTCGTAGTCTCAATATTTTTTTAATATAATTTTTTACATAAGAAAGTAGCAAATTATTTGTTTCAGTCTTGTTCTGACATTTACATAACATATCTTATATGCTAAGAAGGACTAAAGGTATTTAGAAATTGTATTTTGGAATTCCGTTCAGAATAAAACAATAAAATGACATGTTTCCACTGTACGAGTACATCAAAATAACACAGAACTTACATAGTATGTAAACATTTTCACAATCAAAATGTGAATGTCTAATATCTTCAACTCTTCAACTTCATTACATGTTCTGCATTTGCATTTAAAAAGAAACTGTTGCAACACAATTTATTAATTTACAGTTTGAATTAAATTCACATATTTTTTTGTCATAGATGTCTTATTTTTTGTCCATGTATATTATCTCGTGAAAACGACATAAATTCTCGTGAAAACAACTCATTATCTCGTGAAGACAAAAAATAATATTATGTCGTTTTAACGAGAAAATATGACGTTTTCACGAGATATTAAATCGTTTTCACAAGATAATAAGTGGCTTTTCACGATATAAATATTTAGCTCAACATTTAATTTAACTAAAATTTTGTTAGTTTTATTTCCAATAACATGTACATATGTAAATTGTCCTTGAAGAAAACGACAACCATCCTACCCTCAACTCGTGGCTTTCACTGTTCCAAGATTCAAAGAGTTATTCAATATTTTGAATGGTTTTTTATTATGGCTAATGTGATAACTGAACATCGAACAGCGTCATTGGTTACCTGTATATGTATGTCTCCTACGTTGGAGTATTTATCTTTAAGACTATGTAGTAATTTACATTGTGTTTGCTCAAATTAACTTTTGGGCAGGTGTAAAGACGAATAATGACCCCCATCGAATAATGACCGGGGGTCATTTTTCAACGACAAAAAAATGACCCCCTACCCGTAGAAAAAAAATCATTTTTTGTAGAAAAAGTGTCCTAGGGGTCATTATTTTATATGTTAGTCCTATAAAAAATCGACTCCCATTGAAAATCACCCCCTTTAAAGTGAAAAGAGATTCTTTAATTGTCAAGTAAATAAAATTTCTTTTTAATATTCCTCCTTATAGTGTTTGCTTAAAGAATGATATTCCACTTGTTTTTAGAAATCAAACCATGCAACAATCAGGTTCCAATACTCTTTAATAGAAAAATCAATTTTTTTTTCATTTCAACTTTTAGCTTGTATAAGTTTGGCAAAACCTATTTGACAATGAAAGAGGAGGAAATTTTTAACACCCCCCCCCCAAAAAAAAAAAAAAAAATTACGTTAAATCAAAACACACACCAAAAAAATAAATGAAAAGCAAAAATATAAATAAAACTTTATACCTTTCAATAATACTGAAAGAGGCTCTAGATAAAATATTGAAAGGAAGTTAAGCCTTCACACAAGTTCTATCATATCATAATTTACTTCGCCATGATTAAAGCATACTTTAAATGTTGGTGGGGGTATACTTGAAAGTATTGTGGCAAAGTAAAAGTTGAAAATTAGTAGAATAGTAGATTATTTTAAGCTTTTCTTTAGTCCCTTCTTATGGAAAAATAAAGGTAAGGTAGTTTTTTTGTTGCTTTTGTTGATAATCGACTTTCACCTATATAAGTAAGAGAGTGGGGTGGGTATAACACCTAAAATATGCTCTGTAAAGCTATGGGCTAGTGTAAAATACACATTTTAATGCAAAAAATATACATGTAGACTTAATCTTTTGATTTAGCACACAGTATTCATTACATTTCTTAATTCTTGTTTTACTCCACGATTTTACCCAGTCCTGAGTATATTTTTCAGAGAATTTAATGTGAAAATCAGAACAAACATTTTCATTTTTGTAACGTCTTCTTTATACTGTGTCATAATATGAAAAGTTAATAGAAGACCATATCATTTTATGTCCCTGTAATCGAAGATTCGGGGGTATATAGTTTAATCGTGTCCGTCGGTATGTCTGTCTGTCTTTCTGGAGGTCTGTTTCTCCGCAAAAACTTTAAACTTTACCATAACCTTTCATTTATTGTAGCTATGTCTTTCATATTCAATATGTGTACATTCCTTGTGACAAGACCTTACTTTGGGTACCAACAAATTTGACCTTTTGACCTTTACCTTGGAGTTTGTCCCATTTTACACAAAAATGCCAAATTTTTAATTTACTTTGGCTATAACTTTTAAACGGTAGATACTAGTACTCTCATACTTCACAAATGTAACCCTTGTTACATTAAACCTTTCTTAAGAAACCATCAAAAGAAACCATCAACTTTGACCCTTTGACCTTTGAGTTTGACCTACCGTTCAAACACTTATCCTTAGCCATTAATTTTGAACAAGTCCTATTTTGCAATTGTATTTCTTGTGAGAAGACCCTGCTTTGGGTACCATTATATTTAAATTGCCTTTAAGAAAAGTTTAATCTTCGCTATGTTGCCATACAGGGGCATAGCTGTTTTACAAATACACGTTTTTATATACCGGTATAAGAGGAGTTGCGGATAACAGATGGATACCCCAAAGCGTAACAGACGGACGGACATCCCAATCACTATATACCATCCCGCTTTTCAAGCGGAGGATATAATAATATATAATACTGCTGATTTTTTCTATCAGTACGATGATTTCCACCATCGAAAAACAATGTTTACCTAACCCTTTAGGTTCGATAAATCTTTACTCCTTCAGATTCTGAATCATCGCATTGACCTTAAAATATAACTATAATCGTATGTAATGAGATCAACATATCATCAATTTATTCCAAATAAGCTCAGGTGAGCTTTTTGACCAATATGCTTCTTTATCTATTTTTTTTTTTGCCCCCTAAAAATTTCAGCTTTAATCAACAGGGAGTCATTTTTCTACGGGGGTCATTTTTCTTCACGTGGGTTCTGCAAATTTTTAGGGTGGTGACACTTTTTCTACGGGCAAAAGGGTCATTTTTCTACGTCGAATAATGACCGGGGGTCACTTTTCGCTGTCGAAAATGACCCCCGGTCATTATTCGATGGGGGTCATTATTCGTCTTTACACCGGCTTGTTTATGCAAAATTCATTAACAGTTATTGCTGCAATATTCAAAGAGGATATATCTTTTACTAGTAAATCCAGAATGACATTGTCTGCATGCTAAATATTTTGGGATCTCTTTTCATGCTTGATAATATTTCATTGTTATTTTTAATTTTAAGGGCCAATATTTTTGCTACAAATAATTACGATAGAGCTGAAATAAGTCATCCTTGTCTTATACCTCTATTCATGTTACATGTTTTAGAATTCGAACCATTGTTTTTAAGGCTTTGGGTTTTTATTTTCTTTTAAAAAATAACGATTCAGGAATAATTATATTTCTACAGAATCATCTTTCCAAGAAGGACCTTTAACACTAGTTCAAAAACTACTAGCAGCAGGGTGTTCTGTCGAAGAAGTAAACAACGCAGGGGAAACACCATTGCTCGTGGCAATTAGAACATATTATCGCTATCCTTATGGACAAACGTGGAAAACTGACCTAATTAAATACCTCCTCGACAATGGAGCTGACATCAATGTTCAGTTTCCTGATAAAAAAAAATCAACGTTGCTCTATGCTATCGAGTCCCATGACATAGAAATGACAAAGTTAATGTTAAACGCTGGGTACGACATCAACACAAAGGAGGCTGACGGAGAATTGCCTATCTTTCATTGTTTCCCTTTAGGTATACATGTATTATTTCTTTTTCGTTTCAAATTATTAAACTCTTATATTATATTACACGTACTTATTTTGAAATCAATTTTTACAATAATATATGCACATAATAAACTATAACTGAAATTAATTTATTTAATAATTTATCAGGTTTTCATTCTTAAATTACTATTTAAGGATCTTTCTAGAAAAAAGAATATTCAAACAATGTCCAAAACAAATTTAATTTCCCTTTGCAGACAGGCCCAAGAAAAGGGAGCTTTTAACTGTGATTGTGGAGACAGGAAATGTTTCGAATAGCGTCGATAGTAAAGGAACCAGTCTCCTGGAACGCGTTTTTCAGGCTTTAGTCACTGTTCCTCCTGATGTGAGCAATACCTTTTACAAAAGTGGCGAAACAAAAAAGAAAAAAGTTAAAATAGATGCTGAAATAATTCCAGTTTTTAGTCTATTGTTGAAGAAGAATGCTGATCCAAACACAGCAAAAGAAGGTCAAGACTCATTGCTCATGAAGGCTATAAGATTTGAATCAGAAGAAATTGTCACCCTGCTTATTAAAGCTGGAGCTAGCATAACGCACATAGGAGAAAATAAAAACACACCACTGAATGTGTGTTGCAGGTTGTCAAAGAAAAAAACCATGAAAGGATCCCAGGAGAAAAGTAAGTGACTCAAAGTTTTTGTCACAAACAACCGATGCCAGTTTTCAAGAACAAAGAGGATGCATAGTATACATACAAATGTTGCAATGACATAATGATCACAACATGTTCAGCAAAATTGACGGACAACGTCTTTTCAAAGCTATCTTATTTAACATTGCTGTTTTAAGTATGTTTAAAGATCCTCTTTAAGTCATCCTAAAGCATCATTAAACTAGGTCCTCAAGATGACGTCTACATATCTGCAATATTTCAGGCCTAATGGAGCAGTCTGTAGGCGAGTCAAAGAGGATGCATACATATCAATGTTGCAATGACATTGGGATCACAACATGTTCAGAAAAAACCTGATCACGAAGCAGCACTTCAACCGACTGAGCTACCGTGAACAGTCAAATAGCAAAAGAATAATCTTTTTTTTCTTAGGAACTCAATGCACGGCATACAGCGTCATTGATTCCTAATGCTAATAGCGGCTGAATGTAACCCAAAAAAAGTAAAAAGTAAACGCCCAGAAATCTAAATGCCAGCACAGTAACTGAAAAATAAAAAAAAGGTTGGGCAAAAACAAAAAGTGTTTTCATAGTTTTTTTTGTAAATTATTTAAAATAAATCGGTTTTTTTTTCAGTTTATAGGTTGAAAGAGGAAGGTCTGAGGATAATAAACATTTTATTTGACAACAATTTACCCTTGGATGCTCCAAACGCGAAAGGAAAATACCCATTAGAAGTTTTAATGCTTTTTGACAACACTGAGGCTGAAATTCAAACAATGTTGTCTAAGGGTGCAGATCCAAACAAATATGACGTCAATGAAGAATGCCCACTGGTCAACTCAGTTTATGGAAATCCTTCAGTAACGTTGGCCTTAATAAAAGCCGGAGCCGATGCACAGACGACAGCAACAGATGGGAGAAGTGTATACGATTTGTTTTCTGGTTTGTTCTGTAGAAACATTGTTGTAAATAGTAATACATTTGTAATATATTTATCCTCCTGTTTGATTTAATATAATTAGATTTGATAAATGTAAGTTTGTTACAAATGCTTAATTTTATTAACCGCACGAAAAAGCAGAGTTTAGAATGTTATGTTATACTGGTGTGTTGTTACTTTGCAGAAAGAGCCTTTTATGATGACAATTTGTCTTGTCTTGGTGAGTATAATGATTTATCCTTTTGTAATGAACTTCCATCTTTAGATTTTCATCATAGTTTTAATCAATCAATGTTTTGGTTAATATGTCTCCTCTGAAGTAAATACTGAGTACATGTAGCTATGTGATGAGCAGAATTTTTAAAAAATATTTGAAGTTGTTTATTAAAGTCTGTCTAAATTGTACGGATATTATTTCTGTTGTATCATGAATCAAATAGGTTTTTTTTATATTACAATTGATTCAAAGCTAAATATTCTAAGCAAAATTGCATTTTGATCGTAACAACCGAGCGGTTTTCGTGCAAGATTTCCTTAATTATTTTGTGTGGCATGTTCTAATGCGCTTTTAAAAATGTTTCTTTAAGATGAAAGATTTGCAGCGGAAATTCAAATGAGAGCTCTCGTGAGAAACCAAACACCCCTTGTTAAAATAGAAGACATCTGCAATACCCTCACCATAGGAAAGAAAATAAAACCGTTTTTAGGACAACTTCAAGTAAGATGCTTTATTATAAAGGCATTTATACATGTCCAATCTTATAAAAATGGAACTATTTGTGTGTATGCATTTGAGAAGAAAGCTTTACTCTTTATTCAATGTGATGTAATGCCGGTGTTGTACACACTTCTCACAAAAGGGAGCCACCTCTAGAAGTCTTGCTTCAAAGTGAGTCTTACCCCTAGGGAAAATCATACGAAATAGCCATAACACCCCCCCCCTGCAAAAATATCAAAAGAATGTCCGTCTACCTAAGGTAGATGCCTCATTTTAGAGCCTTAATTCTAAAAACTTTCCCCAAGTGATATTTTACCGTAGGAGAAAGCCCATTATAAGACCTTTCCCCCCTTAAAGTTTAGCTATAGGTGAACCATGTAGCAAACAATGAAAACTCTGAATTGGTAAACCTAATGGAAAAGAAAAGAAAGATACTTTTTAATACTTGAAATAAAAATATTTAAATAACAGTAGTGCTCAGACTGTTTTACTGACTTTTCTTGTACAAAATTATGATATGAAGTTTATTAAGATAACGAACATATTCAATTTCAAAAGTCCATTAAACAATTCAAATTTAGGAGCAAAGCAAAACAGGCTTCTTTTACAAAATTAATTATTGTAAGATGACAGATGTTTTCAGATAATGTTCAGAAACGAAAAAGTTTCGAATAAACAAGGAATGTTCACTAGAGAGCCGAACTTCCTTACTCTTTGGCCAGACGTCCGGGGAAAGTCTGACTATGCAGGAAGCCTCATTCAAAAGACAGTCGAAACTTCATCCTTAAAGCGATATGTGTGTGTTTAAGCGAATTTGAGGTGTATGTGAAGGAGGGTGAAGATAAGGAAGGGTATGTGTGAGGGTGTGTGTGTGTGTGTGTGAGGGAGGGTGTTTTTGTGTAATGATATTTTCCTCATATACACATGTATTCAAAATATTCTAGAAAACGCCAGCGATTAAAGTATCTGGAAAATCAATGCTTGTCAAATTTGGAGATAGTTTTTCCTGCTGGAAAACAGTGCGATGGCTTGAACAAGTAATACATGTTTTTTTTTCTCCATTACAATAATTATTTTGTTTTAAATTGATTGACTGATTTTCTGATAAACAAACTCCAATAAGCGAGTGATCTACCTCAGGTCCTTTCAAAGATTTTGAATATTTGTAAATAAAGTCGTTGTTAACTGTCTAGAAAAAATAAATGACCGATCACTTCTCTAAAATTTTATTTAGTAGCTAAATAAAAAGCATCAAAGACATATACATGTATATACTTTTCCTTAATTGGTTGTACATATAATAATCATACTCTATATTCATTGAGGCAAGAATTTTTTGCCAAAAATGTATTATATCTTATCCTTTTCAGTTAGTAAAGAAAGGTGAAGTACGGAATTTGAAAGCCAAAGACGATCAAATTTGTATGTACATCTAAGATGCATTTCTTTAAATTTAAGAATGTACAAAATCCATTTTTAGCTTGTTTTAATCACTCAGGTGACCTATAGCTATCCGCTTTTGCCCTTGTTGTACGACGTGCGTCCTGTTGACATTTGAAAATTTTGGGTTTTTCTCTGCAACTGCTGAACCAAATTCAACTAATTATGGCATGGAACATTAATGAAAGAAGGGAAATAACAACAAATTTTAATTAAATGGTCCCTCCGTAACTATACTTTTTATTATGTTTAATACAAAAAAATAGAGCTTTGACATTGTAAATGGTCAGGTAGATGTTTAAATAAATATATAAATTAAAATGTGGAAATATGATTGATAACAGTATACCAAAATTCTTTAAGACTAAAATAAATCAGTGCGAAGATAAATAATATGTGTCAATTAATTATGCTCTAGAACAATTTGAGTTTGGGTATTTTCAGTCGCTTGGATTCATCTGCTTCCTTTTTAATAATAAATCGCGTTTAAATGTTTTAACTCGAACATTAGCCAATTGTATGTAGTTTAATTAGTATTAACATAATATGTCCAAAAAAATTCATTATAACTTCATAATAAATTAATTTTCCTAGGGTAAAATATTTTTAATCCATTTTGTTATATAATTGTATCTCAATAGAATACATCTTCAAGTTAAACTATATTAGTTACTTAAGGAGGGCTTCTTGTCTGGTTTCTGTCTAGATGAATATATTTCATTCAAAGTATATTTACTAATGGGTCTTTTAAATTAAAATGTAGGAGAATACGCGGGTTTCGAGATTGTAACTCTCCTACGATAGAGGCGCAAAAAGTATCCATTTCAGCATGGAGGTGGGACAGGTTGTTTATGCATACAAACGTGTATAAATAAATAAACGATGTTTAAAACTTTTAGAATTTATTTAATGTTATAGAAAGATAATAATGTTAAGTAGTGATGCATTTCATGATTTTATCAAGCTCAACTATGAATATTTACAAATCTACTATCAATTATAGGGTACTTGAAAAAAAAAACGTCGTGGTGTTTATAAAAAGCAAAAGATTTTCTTGATTGTAAAAGCATTTTCTAAAGAGTAACAGGGTTTTATTAAGTTATAATAAGGAAAAAATCAATGTGTCATTTAGATTGCCGACATGCAATGATCAGATTCATGTTTACTGTATTTATTAGAGGTCCATATATCTCTTCCCTCGTCTGAAAAGTCTGACACGCACTGATTTTTCTTTTTTGTTCCGATTTTTTTTGCTTTAAAAAATGACGCCTTTACTTCAATTCGGTTATTCTCGAGTTGAACAGTGCATCCTGAAAATCATGTAGTTACGATAAACCAGTACAGTGTATATGGATGATGCGATATATTCAATATGAAAATATCTGTCCCACCTGTTTGTTTACGCGGCAACCAAACTCCCCTCCTCAACAAAAGAGCGCATCAAGGGAGATAATCTCGAAACTTGCGTTACTTTGTTTTTTACATTTCATTATTATAAAACTTGAAACAAGAATGGTAAACTGAGATAGAACCAAGCAGGGATAATATTTTTGGTGGAATGGCGGCGTATTGAAGTATCTCCAATTTTTTGTTTTTTTCAAAACTACTACTGAACAATGAATTTTGTTTCAAATTTTATATAATCAAATACTTAAAGAAATTTCAACATGTAACTCAAAGTATTTATTATGAATTAGA